TGATAACTTATTTGCCTCTGCACTCATGCTCTGGGTTTGCACTCTAATTGGGCATAGATTGCACTCAACACTGTTGGGGATGCACTTTTGAAGATAATCTAAGGTTAAATAATTAGGAAAAAGCAAAACTTCTAGTTAAGAAATTCATTTTTAGTTCGAATAAGCAACAGTCAACCCTTGATTAACATTTGCTTTTAGACAAAGCTAATCTATAAAACATAAAACTTAAAGTGTATGGTCAATGCTAGCTTAACGAGATGCTTATATCCATCTCGACTATGCTAGGACTGGTTTTGGAGCGTCAGATATATTTATAATCATATTATGTTAAATAAAATGTTTTTTACCAATAAGTATGGTTTTATTTGTCTTTAGTCTAACTCCAGCTAAGATAAATTTTGATTCTTGCTAGGCCTCTTAATAAAGTTTATACTTAATTATCATCAGAAATAATACTTTTGTGGTTTAGGCGCTCAATTATCACACTGGCTCAAACTTACCTGTTTTTCTCTTGTATATTTTCCTTTTGTCTTTTCACTTGGAGCTTGTTATAATATTGCCAATGTGATCAAACACCAATTTTATCGTACTTATACGATTTATAATAAAAAAAATTAATGGATGAAATAGCAGCTTTCCGATTTTTTGACGCATCAGCAAGTCAAATAGCCGAAGTCCTTTCATAAAGCCTAGATTAAGTCATCGGATATGTCTAGGAAGCCTTTTATTAGAGCTTATTACCATATAGAGGATAACCAGGGCAAAACGTATGAAGGCCGAGGAATATTTTAGATACAAAATTGCTCATTCAGAATTGATATACAATTATTTTTTTATTGCTGTTAACTGACAAGCTTGGATAAGGTTATTCAGGGCCGAACAGACAGATATACCACTCCAGCCAGTGTTTCTGATGTTAATACTCTGTCAAATTGGAACGAGGTAGCTTGACTACTGAGGAGGTTGTACTTTAGAACAAGGCATCACGCAAAACTTGCCCTTTCCTAAGTTGTTCCTTCCTCTTGATTATTTTAATATGCTCTTTTAGTTAAGGGAATCACATCGTTTTATGCTCATGTAGTGGTATCTATATGGAGGAGACTCGCTGACCCATACAGAAAGGATTATCTGAACATAAAATGGACTATAACTTGCGCAGACCCATCACTTGGTTAATACAGCTCATTAAATGTCATGGTCTAAAACATGAAATCTTGAAAATAATAGAGACTTCGATTCTAAGCTTAAGATTAGAGAGTCTAAGCAAACAATCAAAAGAACCACCAGTCCAAATATAAGGACATATTGAAGGAAATGTATTTGGTACCTACTTGCAGTTGGTGGGTAAGCTCATAACGAGTGAGGAAGAGCAGGAAGAATCACCAGGCAAGCGAGAGCCTTATTAATTTTTATTTTTTTGGGCTCTCACACATCACGTCATTCATGAGCATTACATGTGCACATGAATCATTCAAATAAACACACGTAAATTTGTCATCATTGCAGCATCAATAATAATAGTTCATTAACTATCATATTCATTTCACACGTAACCCTCAGCCGCTTTACATACCATCCGGGCCAGTTCACTTGTCTGCAAGCATGTGGGGGAAACGCTAATCAATATGTAAGATCTTGGCGAAGCTTGACCAAACTAGCCTCGAGGAAGGAATAAAAAAGTACTTATTATTTAGATTTTTTAAGAGTTTTAGAAAATATTTTATCATCTGGTTGAGTTTTGCTAAATTTGTACCTTTGGAAATTTGTATCAATAGTGGACTATGCTGTCTGCAATACTACGACAATATAAAACAATTTTTAGCCATCTCTTGAACTTAAGTAGGTTTAGTGAATGGTCCTATTAAATTCCCAACTATAAGGCTCTGAAACGGTCTTGTGTTGAGAGAGCAAATGGCTCGGCACATAAACTTTGCTGATTAAAGATGTGAAGACCAAGATGTTGTGGCCTCGGGTATGGTTGCTGATTAAGTTTTCTTCTCAGTTCATTCAAGCTAAACCTCTTCAGAAGTGCGTCTTATTGTTCCACGATCACATAGAAAGAATTAGTCTTATCTCATTTTCGCGCCTAGTTTGAAGTCCTCTGCGATAGCGTTTATCATATTTCCCAGCGTTGGGCCATGGATTTGGTACATTTCCAGACGCTTCGCCGACATCGTAAGTGAGTCTCACCAGTCTCAGTACCAAGTTACAACTCGTCAAAAGGACAGGTGAAGTCAATCCCACATATCTACTCTCTACCCTCTTAGCGCATTCCCGCCCTATCACAACTTCTGGCTTGTTTATTTCCCACTCCTCGAATGGATTTATAGTCAATTTGGACATAGTACCGAATTTGAAAGGTTGGGATCATCTATCTCCCTAGTCCTGTGACCGCCAGTCCCCCAAAGTTGTAGTTGTTTCTTCAAACAGACTACATTTAGTAAAGACCTCTTCTCTTCATTTCCGAAGGGCCCTTAGCTACTTCTTTCTCGCGACCCCCTTTCATCTTAGTAACGATAGGTACTTGATCCAGATGTCTTATTCTACTGTTCTTACTTTATCCGAGTTTGCTTAAGCAATTGACGAAGTTATTGCTAAATTTGCCTTCTCCAAATCTACTTTTCATTAAATTTCTTTCCGCACTGATGTCAATGGCCTCCCTACTCCTCCATTTCCTTGTGTTTTCATCGTGTGACGTCCTTCCTATCACTAGTCTCGTGAAATGTCAGACCTCCAAAGTTGTAGCTGTTTCTTTGAGTTAACTACGTTGACTGCGAACCTTTTCGCTTAATTTCCGAAAATTCCTCACCCTCTTCTTCCTTAGGATCCCTAATCCTTTGGTATACTACACATCCTTAATCCAGGCGTCTCCTTTTTGCCTGACTTGTATCCTTGTCTTCTCCACGTTTGATTGGGCAATGGGAAAAATTATTGTTTCTGTTCATTAGATTTTCCCCCCAATCTTCCGTTTCTTTGCGCTTTCACGGTATCAGACCCTTCCTTCTGTTGCCTTAGCAATGATCTCGTGTTCAGTCTGTGCGATGTGTTCCAATATATTGGATCTTATAATATCAATTTTCCCGCAGAGCCTTTGATCTTCCTTAATTCATATGCTTATTTTTCTCCATGGTTCGCCAGTTTATTGCTGTTTGCAGAACGTGTATGATATGCAGTCAACTTCCAAGCAATTCATGTTGCATGGGTGTACTTGTAAAGTGTTGTCTTCTTCTTCTTCATCATGTGAATATTCCATTTTTTTAGTAATGGCCGTACTTTTTGAGTTAGTTCGCAGGAAGGTGGGCATATCCATTTTTGTTAATCTTTCTCCATTCTTACCTTATTCTCACAATTCCCGTCCTACTATTGACTTTTCAATACCCGCATATTTATTTCTATTCTTTATCTCAGGCATCTGATTCAATTTTTCCAATTATTCATCACAAAATTCCACGTCTGTCAATCGTCGGCTTCTGATTATCATGCTCATCATTTTACTGATCTTTATCCTGTAGCTGTGATGAGACTGAAAACTGAGTAGTGTTACCACATATGTCTTCTTTCTGTGCAATTTCCTCTTTAGCGTCTCAGTTTAGCGAATGACTTCTCTATCCAGGAAAGATAAGCATCACTCTTTCTCTACTTTCATTGCGAATGTGATTCTTTCATAAGCGACCGCGACCAAAGTCGAGAACACATCATCTTGCTCTTCATATCTACAACGAATAAATATTTTTCCAAATAGGTAATGCATAGTAGTTTTAAGGTTAGATCGTAGTTACATCATGCACCTACACTGTGGATGTTATTTGTCTCTTTTTACTGAAATAAAAACGATTATTTCTGTCTCCCCAGATCCCAGTGCTGAGGCGGCGTCGGAAAAACTTTTGGGACAATATCATTCATTCGATGTTTGGAAATCCGACAAATGCATAGGATTGATTTTGGCCTATCTTTCATATCATTTAGGGAAGTGAGTGGAAAGGAATCATAACTTATACTAACCGGACGCTGAAAAAGGATTGTCCTAAGCTGTGACTATATATTTTTACGGATAAATCCTCAAGCCACCGTTCCTCGATCCCGAGGAATCCGTGGTGGTCCTTTCTCTGTCACGTGATAGAAATTGTCAGAGCAAGAAGCCGTTGCTTTGGGAGATAAGGCAAAGTCAGAAATAGGTAGAGTCGTAGAAGTTGTAGCTGACAACTTTTCTTATTCTAGTGCTTAATGAATCTTCATAAATCAACAGCATGCATCAACATCATTCTATCGAGGTATTATCTGAAATCCTGTATTTTCTTCATGCATACTTTATGCAAGGGTGGCTTTATGGTGACTAGCAAAAGAAGATAGGCATTTTCGGGCCCAAAAACCCAAGAAAATAATATCGATGTAAGGATGAGCTCAAAGTTGCATCACGAATCCTTTACTTTTTTGCTATTATATGTTAATATCTCACTTGTTTTTTTTCCTAATCAGAATTTTGGATTTGGCTCCTAACTCGAAATCGCGGGATCCAAATTGCCTATCTAAATTGCGTGCATTGAAGGAGGTGATATTGCCAGCTGTTTTAGAACCATCTAATATAAGACGCTATGAAGTCAGTTCAGATATCCTCGATTTTGAGTGTATCGAAAGTAAGGTTATTTTTGAAAAGAATATCTAAATATTCTTAAAAAGACGGTTTTCCCTTTTTAATACTGTTAACATTTACATAAATACACAAATATCTCGTG